AAGGCTCTTCCATAAAGAAATCATCTGGTCCATCTGCTGCCTCATGATCACTGTCACTACTCTCATCCTCTGATGAGTCCTTCGATTTATTTTTCCTATTCTTCCTTTTCTCACTTCTTTTTCTGAGATAGGACTCCCAAACTGTTTCTGATCCCTTATCTTTCTTTTCTAGGATGCGCTTGCTTATATCCTCTAAGCCAGTATTAAAAGTGATCTCCATATCCTGGTCGTTGTCTTCACCGTCTCCTTCTGATGCATCTTCATCTCCTTCTCCTCCTTCTCCATCTCCATCTCCAGACAGGAGTAAAGCACGGTACATATCTCGTTTTTTACTCTTTTTATCAGTCTTGTCCTCTGCAGCATCATCATTCTCCTCCTCATCACTTTCACTCTCATCAGAAGCCAAATACTCCTTCAGTTCCAATTCAGAAAGCTACAAGTAAACCAACGTCAGATTAGCTAGAAGCAAGCTGTACAAGAAGAAGTTGTGTTTGTTTTTAACATAAGTTTATAGCTGATAGTTTTGAGTTGCCCTTTCCATCTACCTCGTGATTTCTATTGTTTATTCAGATCAGGGTGACAGAATGCCCATTCAATCCTCAATCATGAAAGATATGAATGCATGGTGCTAGATATGAACTCTATTATTAACAAATAAAATGCAAGTAATGTTCACTTATATAAAATTCCCCTACCTGATCATCAGTGAATTTCCGTTTCAAGGTCTTGCGTCCAGGCTCATCCTCATCCCAAGAAATATCAATTTTACTATGTTGCAGAGCTTGAGTCTGGAAATCCAAACCCCCGTAGCTTGCAGGTACCTGAAAGCCAAAGACTTCACAATCACTCCTCCATTTACGAGAAAATTCATTTTATTTCCTTTTTGTTTCACATTCCATAAAAGAAGCATAAAAATACACGATTTGCTCTCTAAAACTTATAAGTGACTGGTTGAAACATATACCTCTGTTGCAACATCACGGGGTGGGTGTTTAAACTCCATCGAGTCAGGGATGAACCTTAAATCAAGTTTATTCGATGATCTTTCAAACTCAACTCCATCACAATTTTTGTACAGGTAATCCGCTGTGGCAATTGAGTCACATTCAACAACAGCAAAATAATACCTGGAAATAAAGTTATATCCACAATCGATAAATGAAAATATACTTTAGAGACAAAAGATAAAATCATTATCACAAAATAACAACAATTAACCACCTTAGCCTGCTTTTCTCATAAGCCCGCATTTTCTGCGCAATAAGCTCCTCATCCTCATCGTCGGTGTCATCATCTTCATCACTTTTCTCATTTTCGTCATCAAATAAGCCAACAGGACCATGAAGTTCTTCCTCTTTCATACGCTGGAGTCCAAACTCAGACGGATAGACAGTTACAGACTTCATTTCTCCACCTTTCGGAAGAAATGACCTCAACACTGCATACAAGTCAACAGCCTACACGAAACACAATGGAACTCTCAGTTACTGATAAATCCCTACAAAAGGAGCTTATAGACAAATTAACAGTCCGAAACTCCAAATGCTCTCTCGAACATCTAATACAAAGTATGCAGTCCAAAAATTACACTATTTTACGAGAATAAACTTACTGCTCAAATTTCAAAGAGAAATCACACGATCTCCGGACCCAATGGTACAAAGATAAAAAAATATTTGCTTTTACAATGTGTCACTAAATTAAGTGTAGAATGAATTCAATCATGAGCTTGAAAAGGCATACCTTCACATGCCTCCAATCCAGATTAACAATTGCAAGTCTGTGAGTCTCCTTCTCAATTTCCGGTATATCTTCCGCCTGCTCGTAAATTTAATCAATTAACCAAAATGTAGCAACATTTTCTTCCAAATTACGATTAATTAAGCTTATATTATACTCACAAAAGCAATTAATAAAAATTACCTCAATTCCAGGCGCGCCGTCCTCCAAAACAACCTCCTCATCTTCATATCCGTCATCGGTGTCGGTATCTGTATCCGTCGCCGTCTCCGAGCCACCACTGGCCACGTCATCTTCCGATTCCTCCACCTCCTCACTCTCTTCCTCCTCCTCTTCCTTTTCCTTTTCCTCTTTCGATTTGGTCTTATCTTCGTCTTCCGCTTTGGACTTGGCCTTATCTCCGTCGTCCTCCTCCTCCATCCTGTAGTACTGCCGCAGTGAGTTGCCCTCCTCGAGCTTCTTCGGCTTGCCTCGCTTGTCCAGCGGCGCCGACGACGAGCTGAATCGCTTGTCCGTGAACATCCGGTCGAACCGCGAGTCGATCTCGACCTTCGCCTTGTGCTTGGGAACGTTCTGGAACCTTGGGTCCCAGTGCACGGACGAAAACCGAGGATCGGCGATGATGTTCTCATCGTCGCCCTTGGATTCTTTGAGCTTGTTCTTTATCTTGTTTTTCTTGTTCTTCCCCATGGTGGCGGCGTAGGCGGTTGTTGCTTGGCGGTTGAAGGTGGCGCGGGTCACGGCGGGTATGGGATGTCAGTGGCGGTCTGATTCGGGGCTTAAGCTTTAAAGTTCCTCCTCCTCCTAGGGTTTAAGTTAAACAAAAAAAAAAAAATGTAAGATAAAAGGAATATTCAGTAGAATTGTGGTGGACTATGATGAGGCCCACTGGAAATTGAAAGCCCAACTTGAAATTCAACTTAAAGTCCAAGTTGTACGATGGTCCTCTTCAATAATTTGGGCTTTTAGTCTATCTCAACCCAAATTTGAGAAGCTAGGCCGTATCATCGCACGTCCAGAGTTGTTTATGTCACGTGACGGGGTTGAGTTTTAAAAATTTCAAATTGAGGCAAGTTAGAGTGTGATATGTACGTGTTGTACAGGTTAACCTATATCGTTATTATCTAGACGGATGTCAAAAGTCGTTAAGCAATAAAACGTGCTTGGCAAATTGGTCGGAAAATTTTGATCATCCACAAGATAGATACCACATACGTATTTACAATCATTGCATTTAATTCTAGTAGAACGTATTAAGGGCTTTTGAAGCGATGTGTGTGTTTTGTTTATAGAGTCAATGACAATAATATAAATAAGTTGAAGTTTGATAGAACCTACGACTATTTCTTCATAACCGAAAATCTATAAAGAAATAGTTTCCTACTTTATAAAGAAACAGTTGCTGGTGCCACCTGCCAACTATGCATATGGGCTCGAAACTTCACATTTTCTAAATTATTGTAATAATTTTAAACCCTTCCACTCTTCTCCTTAATAACAATAAATTTATAAAAATAAAATATAAAATTGCCGGTGCCACCAACTTCAACTTATTTACGATACCGCCATCACCGAAACTTCATAAATATAACTAATTTGAATGATATTATAATCCCATCTCGTTTGGCTGAAGTTGTTGGGATTTCAAATTGACCATTCCAAGTACCAAATTTATAATCCAGTCAAATCCAATCCAATGCAATCAAGGCTAATAGCATATCTGGGAAATTATTTATCCATTATTTTTTAAATTTCCCATTTGCTAAAATTAGGTTAGGTAAGCGATCCAATACTTCAGCGAATTATTTCAGAATAATTAAAAAGAATTGAGAGACAAGGTTGTTGGGATGGACTAAAGTTAGTTAATTATGTCTCAAACATAAGTAATAAAGCTGTAGACGTTGATTTCAAGCTAATTGACTCCCTCAGAATTAACAACTTTTGATGTCTCAACCCTAACCACTTCATAATTCACACATCCTTTTTTTTTCTGTTAAATCAACACAATGATTGGATTTTGGTTTGTTTCGCGTAACGCGGGTTTTCTTAAAACTAAAAACGAGCCCAAAGTACGTACTAGATGATTCTGAATCGACCTAAAAACTCAAAATACGTGATAGAACGAAGATATGAGGTGGAAATGAAAACTAATGAGTTGAGGAGCAGGGAAGAACTGTGTTGATGGAGCATGATGATGCATGCATAAGCTTTAAAAGAAATGAAATAAATAAAATTAGAACCACCACGGGATCGCTCAGTGGTTAAGGACGAATTTCATGCTCATATTTTATACGGCACATTTTGGATTTAATTTCTGGCATTGGTGAATCACATGATGGTGTCTAAGGAGGCTAAAATGCTTATGTAAGTCTCTCAATCCCAAAAAAAGTAAACTGATATAGCAAAGCCACTAGCTAATCTCCTTTTTAAAAGAAAAAAATTAAAATAAAATTAGGAGTACCTACCATACCATGCAGAAGGGTTTTATTTGGTTATTAAATTGGAGAATATTCGTTGTAATTGTTGGATTGGAACAATTGTTGGTTTGCAGAATCTTCTCCTTCAAATTTGGTCTTGAGAATCTTTTGGTTTTGTGTTTTTTATGTATTAAAACATCATAATTAACTCCTTGAATTAAAAGTAAATAATCATGTGCCATGTTTGATCATTAACACCTTGACAATCAATAAAAATTATTGAGTTCACTTTATAGCATGATGGAAATTTAATTAGTAAAAACAAACAAATCATGTTTTACGGTATTCCTTGATCAGTGGGACACTGAGATTTGAACGTGGGATGTTCTCGAACATTTAAACCGAGGTTTAAAGGTGCAAAAGAAAAAAAAATTGATATCCTATGGCCCCCATTAGCCCATTCATTGGTCAATCTCATACAAACTAAAGGTCTTAATCTCTTTCTTTCTCTCTTGAACGGTCATTCATTGGTCAATCTCATACAAACTAAAGGTCTTGATCTCTTTCTTTCTCTTTTAAACGGTCCGAGTTACTCTATCCGTCAACTTTGAACTACGAGATCCGGAGAGGATGTGAATTACAAAAGAACGATGTGATGGCAATTGTCTTGTAGTAAGGTGCCTTTGCCTTCATAATTACTTCTCAACATCCATCTTAACTAATTCATTCCTTAGGGCCACCATCATATTAGTAACAGCCTCTGCCTCTCTCTCCCTCCGGCCCCCCCCCCCCCCCCCCCCCCCCCCCCGCTACGTCTCTCTCCCTCTCCCTCTCTATAAATAAAACACTAATCCATTTTCATTTCCCACAAAGTTAAGAGAGTTAAGCAAGAGAGTTCTAAACCTCTAAAAATGGCTTTCAATCTAGCATTCTTGAGCTCAATCTTCATCATCCTTTCGGTATTTTCTGCAGTGACTAACGCGTTGAGCTCGAATTACTACGATAAGAGCTGTCCCAATGTCGATCAAATCGTTTCTAATGCCGTCAAGCAGGCGACATCCAACGACAGAACTGTCCCCGCTGCTCTACTCCGGATGCACTTCCACGACTGCTTCATTAGGGTACATACATATTTTTCGGTACAACTAGTTTTCGACAGTTGAAACACATTGGTTGGTTGATTAAGTTTAACTCAAGGTGTTTGTTTTGTTTACAGGGCTGTGATGCATCTGTGCTGTTGAACTCCAAGGGAGGCAACAAAGCTGAGAAAGATGGGCCACCAAATATTTCTCTGCATGCGTTTTATGTCATTGACAATGCAAAGAAACAAGTGGAGGCTTCTTGCCCTGGTGTCGTTTCATGTGCTGATATCTTGGCTTTGGCAGCAAGGGATGCTGTTGTGCAAGTAAGCTTTTCGAAACCAGGGGAGATTCTGTTGCGTAATATGCACAAACAGAACCGGTTGCAAGCGTTTAATAAAAATAGAACTACCGTACACACTAGCCATATATAAACCACGGTTTAGTGCTCCTCCAGTTATATTTTTTATTGGAAGTTTAAAACCGGTTTCTGTTTATTCATATTTCCCGAAAGTAAAACAATAGAGGTGTAAAATTTTATACCACTTACTGAATGTGTTATCAATGTTACAGTCCGGAGGTCCGAACTGGGCTGTGCCGAAAGGACGAAAGGATGGAAGAACATCGAAGGCTAGCGAGACCGTGCAGCTGCCGGCTCCAACCTTCAACATATCTCAACTGCAGCAGAGCTTCTCGCAGAGAGGTCTGTCCTTGAACGACCTGGTGGCTCTTTCAGGTAAAACAATCCTCAAAATTTCAATTGTTATTTCGTATCTGTAATTTATCGAAGAAGAAACGAAAGAGACTAACTTCCGATGCATCTGCAGGAGGGCACACTCTAGGGTTCTCCCACTGCTCATCGTTCCAAAACAGAATCCACAACTTCAACGCCACACACGACTTTGATCCAACACTGAACCCGTCCTTTGCTGCAAATTTGAAGAATACGTGTCCCATCAAGAACAGGCCGAAGAATGCCGGTGCCACCATGGATCCTTCTACAACCACCTTTGATAATACATACTTCAAGTTGATCCTCCAAGGGAAGAGCTTGTTTTCTTCGGATCAAGCTCTGCTCAGTTTTCCGAAGACTAAAGGTTTGGTTACTAAGTTTGCCTCCTCAAAACAAGCGTTCTTAGACGCTTTCGTGAATTCTATGATAAAGATGAGCAGCATTAATGGTGGGCAAGAGATCAGGAAGGACTGCAGGGTAGTAAATTAATCGAGAGCCGGCAAGCTTAGTTTCAGTTGATTCTAAAAACATGAGAACCTGGAAATCAATTAAATAGGTGGTTCTCTATCATTTCCTTTCGTGTTTTGAGAGATTTGAGATAGAAATTGTTTGTGTGTGCTGTGTTTCATAATGTTTGAAAGGATCTTGTTACAACAAAATCCTGCAATAAATTGTAACAAAAATCCTACTATAAATATGAAGTATTCAGTTGAAGGGCAACGACGTTTTCTTGTATGAAACTTAAGGTAAACTCCCAACAATGCATGAAACCGGTGTATATCAACCCTTTTCAGAACGAATATGAACAGACGATGCTCATTACAGTATGCTCGTATAGGTCAAGTGTGTTGATGCACAAAATTGGGTCGATCTTAGACCAACGTAAATCCGACTATGAATCACACAAACGCACAAGAATACAAAGATATATCGTGGTTCACCTCAAGTTGAGGCTACGTCCACACTGGTGTTGATTCCGTTTCACTATGTAAATGAATGTTGAATATACATGGAGGCTATAGAGGCAGTGTTTGCTCTCTTTGCTATTCTGTTTGCTCTCCCGTTTCCCCTCTGTTTGTTTCCCTTTCTTCTTAAGTGAGTGTGAGGGAGCCCTTTTATAGAATAAGGGCTTCCTCCCCTCTTACATGAATCATGGGCTAAGTAATGAAGCCCAAATACTGAGGCCCAATATATGGTATAACAGGAGTCCCCCAAGTCTTTAGTTAAGAGTGTCTTTTAGCTGGAGACTTCAAATCCAATCTGTTTGTACTATACTTGATCAATCCCGAAACTACTGAGCATCGGTCAACGTTATACCATCAAGGACCCAGAAGAGTTTCCCTCCAACTAGAAGGCCAATCACAACGCAACACGTGTCGACATCAGAAGCCAATCATAGCGCGACACGTGTCAACATCAAAAGCCAATCACAACACGACACTTGTCAATGTCAAAACAAAGCTAGAAACTCTCCTCTATAAAAGGAGATCATTCTCCCACAATATTTCCTAATGTCATTTGTACTAAATCATTCACTAATACTCACAAAATGAGAGCTTGAACCAATGTACTTGTGTAAACCCTTCACAATTAATGAGAACTCCTCTACTCCGTGAACGTAGCTAATCTGGATGAACCACATACATCTTGTGTTTGCTTCCTTGTCTCTATCCATTTACATACTTATCCATACTAGTGACCAGAGCAATCTAACGAAGGTCACAAACTTAACATTTTCTGTTGTACCAAAGTCCCCACTAATTTTGTGCATCAACACATTCCATGTGCGGGTTAAAGTGACTAGATGTCGTCAAGAACTAGTACTCGACATGAGACGATGCTTAACATGAAGCAATACTCAGCTAGAGGTAGCACACATTGCGAGGCTGCTCGGCTAGAGGCAATGCTCGCAGCGAGGCGGTTGCTCGGCTGGAGGCGGTGCTCGTTGCGAGACGGCTCATCTTTTGGCGTTCTTCATTGCAAGTATGCACTCGACGCAAAGCCTCGCCATACCACATCCACTACTTTGTCAACAACAAAAGTATCTCATATCATCAAGGTCGAACGAACTCTTGATTTGATAGACTTGTTTTGACCCTCAAATTCTTGAGTCGACCTTATACTCTGGAGGAAACCAGAAAACCCTCTAGCCCAGTTCAAGAATAAGCCTGTGGAAAGTTACTTCTTCAAAAGCAAAAGTATCTCATATCATCTATTCTCCATGTCCTTTTCTTTATCCTTGTTGATGTTTATAGAACAAGGAGAATGAGAACAATCAGTCGGAACACGAGATCAAACCTTCGATCTGAGACTGACTGCTTGGAACTCTAATTGCTTACTTTGTCTGTCACCTCTTTTGGCAGATCTCCTCGCTCGGATACTTGGGGGACTCCTACTATAGGGTTTGTATTGCGCTTGACCAAGCCCGAAACTACAAGTAAGCTTCAAGTGAAATTGATACGTTACCTTGTGCATCTCCATCGGTTAAAGATACCACCCCTGGATGGAGGAAAAGTACTTCCAGAGAAGATGCCACATCTACCTATAAGACAGATAAGGCAGGTGAAAACGATACCACATTTCGGTACTTAGAAGTTTCGTGATTGCTCAATGGCTTGGATCTTGCAAGTCCTCAACCGAGGACCTTCCCTCACTCGTGAACTTAGGGGAGCACTGTTTGTACCATACTTGACCAATCCAGAAACTACTGAGCACCGATCAACGTTATACCGTCAAGGATCTACAAGAATTTCCCTCCAACCAGGAGACCAATCACAGCACGACATGTGTCGACATCAAAGGCCAATCATAACACGACACGTGTCAACATAAAAGGCCAATCACAACACGACATGTGTCAAAGTCAAAACAAAGCTAAAGACTCTCTTCTATAAAAGGAGATCATTCTCTCACAATATTTCCTAATGTCATTTGTACTAAATCATTCACTGGAACTCACTAAATGAGAGCTTGAACCTATGTATTTGTGTAAACCTTTCACAATTAATGAGAACCCCGCTACTCCGTGGACGTAACCAATCTGGGTAAACCATGTACATCTTGTATTTGCTTCCCTGTCTCTATCAATTTATATACTTATCCACACTAGTGACCAGAGCAATCTAGCGAATGTCACAAACTTAACACTTTCTGTTGTACCAAAGTCCTTCCTGATTTTGTGCATCAACAAAGTGGATTACTCAACTTACAATGCAAGCTAGAGTTGCAGAATTACCACAAACTCCTAAAATGCTAATGCAATTCGTTGTATCAGCCCATTCACTATCCAGAATGATCTCTGCCAGTTAAATGTTGCCACTTAGCCCGGATACCTTGGAGGATGGCATAAACGAAAAGACATCAAGAAGCTTCGCGCACTTCAATCCCCATTTGACCGTCAAGAATTCAATAAGACGATGCCCACTGCATATTACAAGATGTGCTTTCAAAGAGTAATAAAAGTGAAAGAGGATCATTTACAGCGTTATCTGCATATTACAAGCGCACATGTTTTAAAATTAGAACAGCATTAGAAGCACACACTTTGGAGCAGAAATGTCACAGTGGCAAAGAGGTCATCGAAGGCTTACCAAGGAGAATAAAATCCAGTTTTGGCTTAAGTTCAGTGACAGAGAGGACGTGGAAAAAAAGAAGATCGCAAAACACAAAAATCAAAGTCGATAAAAATCCTACCACTAGCATCATACAATACATCAGCGCCAAGAATAAATTTCGGGTGTAAACTGAATGTGGATGCATCCCAAGCTCCCCATGTCAATCCCATTACCTGAAAAATACAAGTGAGATAAAATTAACATCATCTAATTAAGTTGTGTGCAAATAAGAATCGGCGATTAGCCTGTTGATGGCAATTACATTGCACTTGAGTTTATTAAGGTCAAGCATTCTTCTCATGTTGTTCAGCACCTGCAGATTCAAAACAACAATGCCGTTAACCGCTAACTATAGTCGTTAAACGCTAACTATAACCGTTAAAAACCGAGACATTTCTTGGAGAGCAAATAACAAAGTCGGGTCTAATTAACTAAATTAGTACAGAAAACGAAGATTCTTTATCAATTTGAAGGTTCAATCGAGATCAATACAGGCAGTTCATACCAATAATCATACTTTGGAAGTAAAAAATTAACGGTAAACATAAATTATTACAGGAGTTTTAAGCACAAATGGAAACACTATGCACCAAAAAGTTTTTCAAGTGCCCATTTTTTCACAAAAATGGGACGTTAAACTCATTAAACCCGAAAATTTCCACTACCCATTCAACTATTTGATCCAGTTTTTCATCAATTTCACACTCTTTCGAGCGTAATACTTTTTAACCAATGTATTCTCTTAGGGAGAGTGACTGGTCTCAAGCCATTGGTGTGACTGACACCAAGACACGCATGTAGGTGCTTAATAGAGAATGAGTCTGCTGAACGCGATCAACGACGAGTTCTCATACTCATGGTTGGGATAATGCAAAGTAGTCATTTGACCTGAGACGGATAGTTAATCATGTTCAATAACCTTAGTTACAGGGACATTCATTTAACTTTTGGTTTCAAATTGTAGAAATACGGCTTTTCATTATTTCTTAATATAAGCTTTCATTACAGCTTCAGTTTCACATCATTCGTCATTGGATTTGCTATATAAGTTTTTAGTGAGAGAATCTTACTAGTGAATTGTTAAAAGGTAGGAAGAGAGAATGCGGCCTGCGAATTTATAAACTAAAGTTCAGATGCATTTTCTGTGGTATGGGGTGTCCGAGAGAAAGGGTTTCAGGGATTAGGTTTGGGTGGGATTTCAAGGATTAGGTTTGGGGTTTTGTTTGTGCGATTTGTAGAGAGATATGGAATTGCAAAGAGAGATATGGAGTGTCTGAGATAAGTGTGGGAGGATGTAGATGTAATGGCTGCCTTTGTTACATTATGATTTATGTTTTTTGCTATAGAGTCGAAGATGTCCGGTCTTAGAAAAAGTGAACAGCCACGCTCTCCGTGATCGAATGTTGCACACCATGCTACATATTTTTTTATTAGAACATCTGTGCTTGATGACTTACATGCGCAAACATCATTTTTTCTGTGTTTTGCTAACTGCTAAGTGAGGTATGTAGGCTGCAAGGCATATATTTTACCATCTTAATTGTAGGGGAAAATATGTGTAAACTGCAACTTGCTTCTGTTTCTTCAGTTTTGTATGGAAACAGACCTTTTGCTTATTTTTGCCTTTGAACAGTTGTGATTACAAAATTAGCTACTTGAACAAGTCCTCAACACTTTATGTTTTTAATTACCTATTGAAATGGTTGCCTACACTGTAGGACACATATTCTATGTGTGAACTATTTGTATCTTCTGTTTCTTAAGGAAACAAAACTTTTTTGGAAACCATCTCTCTTTAATCAAAGACGTTTAGGGCATGTTTGGTATTTGATTTGGATCCAATGTGTTTTACTCAAAAACAAGTTTTGAGTCACAAATTTAAAATCTTTGTTTGGTAGTGGATTTGAATACAATTCTCAAAACCATAACTCAAAAATATCTGAAAACAAGTGCTATTGGTTGAAAACACAAAAAGTGTGATTTTAGACTTTTTATTTTATGGATTATCACTCCTGTCTCTCTCTCTCTCTCCCTCTCCCTCTCCCTAGCTCCTCTCTCTCCCATTTGATGTACTCATTTCCCTCTTGCCTCTTCAATCCTCTTTTCTCTATTGCCTTTCCAATCCCTTCTCGCTTATATCCACCATAGCCACCACCTCTATCATTCTCCCTCCGGCCAAGACAAATTGATCTCTCCCGCCTCTTCAATCCTCTCTTCTTTGTTGCCTTTTCAATCTTATCTCTTCTCACTTGCATCCACCATAGCCATCACCATAGCCATCACATCTTCCCTATGGTTGTTGGATCTTAGGTTTGAGACCGCCAACATGATTAGCCTCTGTCAACTCGAGTTTGGAGTAAGAAGTTGGTAAATAGCCAAAGGAGCTAGGGAAGTGAGGGATGCGGTGGTCGGGGAATTGGTCTTTCGCCACTGAGGATAGGAGGGATGCGGTGGTCGGGTAATTGCTTGGGCTGGGCTTTTGACTTTTTCTGCTTGGATTAGTTTTGAGAAATTGCATACCAAACAAGGTTTTGAATTTAAAACTTTTAAATCAAAACATGTGTTTTTAGAAAAAATTAAAATTTTGAGTTTCGTTCTCAAGTTAGATACAAAACAGGCCCTTAGTTTCTTCCCACTCATTATACAATGTGTTTACATGCCAACTCACTTGAATGTATAAAAGCGAAATTGCTTAACTTATCGACCCCATTCACTCATGTATCCCTCTGTTTGTTCAAAATTGTGTTGAATTTATTCAACTTAAATGTGTTTTATTCATCCGATAATGCTTGAAACAGTTGGTTCGCGCAGCAACGCGGGCGTAATTTCTAGTTAATATCAAATATAAGGATAAGTGATTGTGAATGTAGTAACTATATAAGATGAGTTTGGAGTCTTGTTCCTTTCTTTTTTGCAATGGAGTCTTGTTCCTTTCTTTTTATGACCAATGGAGTCTTGTTCCTGTCTAGGGTCTTATCTTGGTCCTACGTTGTATGGTGAAGAATTAACGTTCTCATGGCTGAAGGTTGCACCAACACAATCACACATAAAGTTTGAAAGTAATTTGACCTGAGAAGTTGCGTATGGTGGTAGGCATTGGAAAGTTTGGGATTATGGTTTAATTAGTGAGACAGCTCAGCTAAGCACCCGTACTCTTCCTTCACGTTCTCGATGATGGAGATGGAGAAGGCCGGCTCGTCCGAGTCGTCCCCGAAACGATGACGCGACACCGTCGTCATATCGGCCGTTTCGGCCGAGTCATTTCCTTCCATAACTCGCCGCCGCGACGAAACTCGTAACAGAGGGAACGAAGTGGGTTGGAGAAATTGAGACTCGAGTCATAAATATGGGCCTACTAAATAATCTCTACAGGCCCAACAAAAAAGGCCCAATTAAATTTATCCGAAAAACCGAAAACCAAAACCAATTTTTCAAGTCGATTTTCGATAGCGCTTTCTCGAAGCAATCAGCCCCAGAACATTCTCCGTCTTCTTCTTCCTCACTTTTCTGCTCCACTGAGTGAACTCGCCTAACTCGCTAACTCAGAGCTCGCCCAGCCCTCCCATGGCATTTGCTCACTACCCAACATCCATTCGCCTCCAAGCCTCAAAGCACCCAAAGACTTCGATTCTGAAACCACCACCTCCTTCTCCTTCCTTTTCCTCCCTTCCTCTTCCCCTCAAACCTCGGAACCTCTCCTTATTTTCAAGGCCCCGAATTCCGGGGCATAAGGGTAATTACACTTCTCCGCCGTCGGCGCAGGCGGAGCCGCAGGGGCCTCAGGTGAGTTCAGCTGCGGACGCCTTCACTAACTTCAAGCATCTGCTGCTGCCCATCACCGACGGGAACCCATATCTCTCCGAGGGCACAAGACAGGTAATTTTCGCATTCAATTTTGACCCGGATAAATTTCGTGGCTGCCATTGTGTGAGGATCCAGGTAAAAAGTTTGATTTTTTATTTTTACAGGCCATAGCTACGGTTGCTGCTTTGGCGAAGAAGTATGGGTCTGACATTACGGTTGTGGGTATGTTTACTGATGAAATTTTACGAAACCAAGCGTTACAGATAGAGCATTTTTTTTTACTGTACAGACCCTTTTGGAATTGATTCAGAAATGTAGTGTAGGAATATAGAACTTTGTGTTGTTTTGCAGTGATCGATGATCAGCAGAAGGAGTCGTTGCCGGAACACGAAACCCAGCTTTCGACTATCCGTTGGCATCTCTCCGAAGGTTTGTGTACTGTCTTGTGTGGAATTGGGAAGGTTTAACTTACATGAGGAGTATGTGAGGAAAGGGAATCTTAATTTTCGGGGATGATTGATTAGTAGAGAACAAAAACATATATACTATATGATTGTGTAGATTCCGTTATGTCGATTGAGTTTCCATCGGTGAATTGCAATAAGATGCATTTTTTTTCACAAGTTGATGTGATTATGCTGCTGATGGAATCAAAACATGTACAGGGCAGAATGACAATGAAAAGGAGTCATATTTCATTACGGAAAAAAAAAGGCAACGGTTTTCTAGTTGATAATTCTTTGGAATTACTGAAACCGCATTTTATTCGACCTTGAGTACCAGAGTCGTTAAAATGACTTGAGTCGCTCACCGTAGAATCTATATTTAGTGATGAGGTGAGGATTGTGATACTGAATGTGAAGTTGTTTCGAAAGTGGCCAAAAGTTAGTAAATTAAGATAAAATTTGATGGTTGAAGGGGGTTCAAGTACTAGGAAAGGGTTGAAGCATCAAATCTTGGTTAAATTTGGTTATTTTGTCAAAAATGCTTGAAAGTAGAAGATGAGGATCTGGGAAAGTGGGCATTGTAGATGGCTTCAACATGTATTATTGTGTTGTAAGAATATTGTATCGGTTTGCTGACCAAGTTTACTACTTAATAGAATAGTGTGCGTGAGGTTATGTATAGTTACATCGTTACACTTGTATGACAATTTTGGTTGTTTATTTACTTACTTACTAATTTTCTGTATGCACATAACAACATATTTGGCACTAACATTATTTTTAACCGTTATAATTACTGATAGGTGGGTTCCAAGAATACAAGCTGTTAGAGCGACTCGGGGAAGGGAACAAGCCGACAGCCATCATCGGCGAGGTTGCTGATGACCTGAATTTGGATTTAGTTGTTATAAGCATGGAAGCTATTCACTCCAAGCATATCGATGCAAACCTGCTTGCTGAGTTCATTCCTTGCCCTGTCATCCTTTTGCCGTTATAATTTGCTATTTCAACTGTAAAGTAATCACTTCAAACTCAAGCTCCTTTCTAGTTTACAATGCCAGTTTCTTGTGACCGGATTCTATGACCTTTTATTTTTGTTTTCCAAGAAAAATCAATAGAGAATTGAAATTTTTGCTCTTAGGAATCGCGGATCATTGTTATTTGTCTTGTTTATTGGGTATGCTTATTTTTATACACCTTACCGTACAAAGATAGAAGACAGTAGCTAAGGTAGATGTTTTTTTGAATTAGATTAGCTCGAAATTACAGGATCTGTCCTTGTTATGAACAAGTGCTTTTCGAGTCCTAAGAATGTAACAAAATAAGCCAAGCAGAGTGCTTTTGACTTGCTTCACCTAAATTTGTCTTTGATATTTGAGGATTTGACTTGAATTTGTCTAGTCTACTTGAAATGACCCTAAGAAAAACGATAGGAATTCCCAAGGGATACACGTCTCTGTGTCTCTCCCATCACATGATTAGTGATATGCGATGAGAGAGGTTTACACAACATGTGATGGGTAAGTTTTCTCGATAAGAACAGCCACTTCCCCACTGGTAATAGTGAGAGTAATAGGTGGGTAAATACGCAAAGGGAGAAGCCGACAGGACAACATACACCATGCTACTCTGTTTAGGTGGCGGGGTTACTGCGGAAAGATCCCAAGCCTTTAGTAGCTGATGCCCTTGGAACATGCTGGTGATAGGCAGCTGCTAACAGAGCTCCAATAAATGGCCCAACCCAAAATATCCACTGCTTGACACCATTAAAGTTTAGAGGTCATAAAAAAACGTACAGAGAGTGGTGCTTGACGCACTTGCCTACACCAGAGATTCCGGCTGTGCAGTAAACCAGGACGAAGATCATACCGCCGAAGGCCAAAGAAATGCCAAGAAGGCCGACGCCGTCGCACTGGTTTGCTTGCTTCTTGTGACCGATGACCGTGGCAACTGTGACGTAGAGGAAGAGAAGCGTGGCAACAAACTCTGCTATCACAGCTCTGAAGAACGGCCAGCTTTTGAGCTCTTCCATGTCCAAGAGAGGAACCAGTGGTGGCTCTACGTAGTCCTTAGACATTTCTTCTTCTCCTCTCTCTTGCTCTCTGGTTTCTAACTATCTATTTCCTCGGGGTAAAAGATGGAGATTTTATAAGGATTATAAGGCCATGGCATAACGTGTGCAGTACATTGTTGATCAGAAAGTATGGTATTTTATATCATGAGATCATGTGACATTTTCATTGAGAGTTTGTTGTCTAATCGATCCTTCTTTTTTCTTCTTCCTTTTTTTATTTTTTTTTTGCGTAACAGTGTTATTAATTTACATATTATAAAATATCCAAATGAAGAACTCAGATATTACGATTGCTAACATTCCTTTCAATGCCCGAGAGTTAGCGATAGAAGTGGAGGCCATATCAAACTAATGACAATAATAAGTCTCAAAATGAAAAAAAGAAAATAATAAGTCACCATCTCAAGTATTTTGGGTCAACGAATTGAAGTCATATAATCATATGAAATATGTAGTTTGGTCAGCCCATGATGACACGTTCGATATGTCGAGCTTGCCCAAGAGTAATTCGAGCCCAATCAACAAACCAGCTCAATTTCAATTCGAATTCAATAAAGTTTACCACAATTTTAAAAAGTGAAAATTTTTAACGCGACAAATTATGATCAGAAATTTAAATTTGCTTACAGGTTGTAGATTGACATGAACATGATACAGATACCGATTGCCACCCCTACGGGCATCATCTTCTTAAATTAGGAAGATAAAAAAGTGAAGATATGTTACCAAATTTTGAGATATAATTGAGATGCACTCCCAAAAGCAACCTCTATATTCCATGATGTATTCACGCCACACGTCGCACTCCTACTGGATCACAAAGTAACTTCTAAGTGAATGGTAGGATTAAGAAGATGGATCTCTTCACTAAAGTTACCGAATCAAGTAATTTGGATTTTTAAAATTTCATCAAACAATAGAAAATTATTATGATTTTTAAGAGATGAAAACATTAGAGCTATTGGATAAAATTTTAAAGATTCGGATCATTTTATCTGGTGATAAGAAGTTGGTAAATAGTAAAAGTAGATTAAGTAGTCACAGTCGTATTTACATTCTGAATCTCATGCCCCTCCCCGCGGGTACGCCATAGGGGTATTTTTGTAATCTCACGTAATCTAAAACCTTAGCATCCAGGAAATCCCAATAGCGCAGCTGCGAAGAAAGGCACTATAACCGAGAAGAAACAAAACAAACACACCACTGCCAACAGAGAGAAAATCTCCAGAGAGCCGTCTCTCGCTCCTCCTCCCCATTCTCTCTCCTCTCTCTTCCTCCGCTCTCTGTCTCTCTCCGGTCTGCGATCCCGATCGCCCCAAATCTTTGGAAACCCTAATTTCTGAACTCGCACATTGCTCAGAAATTTTCGATCACTCTGTATTTTATTAATCCGCTTTTGCCCCTTGTCGTTGATCAAGAAACTTGTCGACGTCGCTTTCGCAAACCCTAGCGTTTTTGTTTGGTTCTTGTTATGGCTGCGATTAACGCCGCGAACAAGGGTAGCAACACTGAAACGGCGCCGTCTGCGACCGTGCAGTCGCCGCGTAACGTCGGCAAGAGTGTCAGCAGCCCGACCCAATCGCGGCGCGCCACTAGGGCTGTCTCGTCTCCTTGGACTCAAATCGTTCGGGGCGAATCTGAGCCGATTGCGGCCGTTGCTTCGTCGCCATCGGCGGCTGTGACTGAGCCAGTTGTCGCCGCCGCGGCCCCTCCGTCCCTTCCTTCCTCTTCTTCGGTTAATCAGACTCAATCTAACTCGTCTTCTCAGTCGAATTCGTCTTCTCCTCCACCGGTGGAGGAATCGGTGGGTGAGGGCTCAGAGAACGGCAATGCGGGTAAGAGGCCAGCTTGGAACAAGCCTTCTAATGGGGCCGTTGAGGTTGGGTCTGTAATGGGAGCTGTGTCTTGGCCTGCCTTGTCTGAGTCGGCTCGGGCTTCTACCAAATCGTCTTCTGAATCTCCCAAAGGTGTATCAGAACCCTCGTTGTTGTCTATCTCCGTATCGCAGGTTTCTTTCTTGAATCTTTTTGCTATTGTTTGGTTGCTGAGAAAGTTGGGAACTGAATCAAACTATATGCAACACTTTGGGTTTTTTCTGATATGCTAATTTTTCGTTGAAATTTACCATAATCAAGAAATGCACCATTAGCTCTCTGCATTCGAATGGCGGTTTGCTGATAAATTTTGGGTAGATGCAAATAAAAAGAAAACTTTTGGGTAAATGGATAATCAAAAGATTCTTATGCATTGAGAAATTGAAGGAAAATAAGTGGAAGGAAATTTGAAGAGTTGGTTCTGATTGTTTGAGACATTAAGAAATAAAATTTGATTAGAAATGATTCACCTTGTTGGAGCCTAACAATGTAGTGCGATGATGGCATACGGTTTTTGTATTTTTACATGTTCAATATGCTGGATTTTATGTGTTGTATGTGCATATGTACATTTATATTACTTATTGTGCTTTGATGTAGGGGACTGGAACCACACCTACCTCATCACCGAAACAAGGGAATCCTTCTACTCCAAACCATACTGGACCTACTCGCCAAAAATCGATGAAACGAAATAATTCAAATGCATCCTCTAATGGCGGTGCCCCCCTGCATCAATCATCTGCTGGTCAAGGTGTTGAACTGCCTTCAAATAACCCATCTCCCAAGGAGCATACCCCTAGGAATGCATTTGGTTCACAATCTCACAGCAATAATGATCATCCGCAGCAACGTAACTCCTTCAGGAACCGAAATGGTGGTTCACATCCTCGTGGAGAAGGTTCTCATCATAACTATAGGCGGGATCAGGACCGTGGAAATCAAGATTGGAACACTCATCGAAACTTTAACAATAGAGACAACCACATGCATTCTCCAAGAGGTGTTCCTAGGATGATGAGGCCTCACCAAACACCACCTCCACCACCTCCTAATGCTGCCCAATTTATTCACCAACCGCAGATGAGGGCTTTTGGTGGTCCTATAGGGTTTGGTAAACACTTAGGCATATTCAAATAGAACTTGTATGTGTTTTACATGCGACTTTATCCTAATGTGTTTCTTTTTTCAGATATGCAACCTCATCAACTGGTATATGTTACACATGCACCACATGAACCACTTGTACCTTTTGTTGCACCTCTGAGACATCCCATGATGTTTCCTGCTCCAGATCCTCACCTGCATACTAAGATCATAAACCAGATAGATTATTATTTCAGGTGCTCCTTTCATGTTTGTTTGTTTGTTTACATAAGAACATTAATCATCATTTCCCTTTTAATTTGTTTGATAGTTTAACTGCTTGTGTCCCTTCATACTCATTTATTGCAGTAATGACAATTTAATTAAAGATACATACTTGAGGCGGAACATGGATGACCAGGGATGGGTTCGTATTAAATTAATAGTAGGCTTCAAAAAAGTGAGTTTTTGGGAAACTTTTCTCTGTGGATTTCATTTATTGTGGTGATGATCTGGTCTTTTGTTGTGTATACAGGTGTGTGTTTGTGTGTATCCATGCATACAGGTTTATTCTATATGTTCAAGATTAACTTGTATTTTATGTTTTTAACTTGCAATTCTTGGTGATGTGTAGGTTATGTTTGTCATTGGGATTTGTCAATTGAGCACTTTGAATTATACATTTAAAGAAAGTAAATGAATGAACAACAAATAAATAAAAACAAAGTATAGAAACACATTAAGGAAAATTACTTATGGTATACCAAGTATAATAGCACTTTGTTTGCTATTCTGTGGTGCTCTGTGGCATGCTATTCTGTGTTATTTTTTGTTATCGTTACATTGACATGGGATAATACGTACACGTTTTGAAGTAAGGAATTATTAATGTTAAAGACTGAAAATAAGCTATAGGCTATCAAGCAAATGTTGATATTGCAGAAGAACCATTTTGTGGTAGATTATAGGGAGATACCTTAGGACGAAATGTGGTTTTATGTATTTGATTAAGCAGGAGCATATCTAAGGTTAAAAATTTGCTATACTATATTGCCTCCTCAATGGGGTTCTGTTCTTATATCCTGGCCCCACTTTCCTGACCGACAACATTCAGCTTGTACTGGATGCTATGAGAATGCCAATGTTTTAATTTCTCATTTCCTTTTCAGGTTATGAGTTTGACAGACAACATTCAGCTTATACTGGATGCTATGAGAATGTCAACTGTTGTGGAAGTACAGGTAATTCAAGATTCCATAATTTAACGTTTGATGTAATCATGTAATAGAAAAAATGCCGTTGCATCGCTATTTTATTATTTATTCTCCTCCAAATTTTCATTTCCAGCACCCTCTACCCCACCTAGCCCCGTAATATACAGTTAAAAGTGTTATGTGTTTTATGTTATATAACATTCTGATAAGATGACAAATCTTGTGCTGTGTCTTGTGACTGTTTAGGGTGATAAAATAAGAAGGCGTAATGATTGGGAGAGATGGGTAATGCCAGCTGCTGAGCCTCCAAATGCCTCGGGCTCTCAAACCCCTGGAAAGGCCGGTCCGGATATGCTGTCAGCTCATATCCAAAGTATTGCACTGGACGAGAACACCACTAACAACAACAATGTTGAGAACAATAATCAGCCGCAGCTGTCAAGTGGTGATGGAACAGGTCAATTCGGTGTTCAAGCAGGTGCTGATCGCTCTATTTCAGCAAGAAATTAGAGTTTGAGGGATGGATGTGCACAGACGATGCACACTCGTGGAGAGAAATGAACTTGTGGGAAGAGAGGCTTAAAAGACACGATGGTGAATATCTATTTTTTTTTTTTCTTTTTTTTCGAAAATAGTACTACTGCCTTGGCATGATGTAACGTTCTTTCTTGCCTGGCAAATAGAAAGAAACTAAAAAAAGGGGGAAAAGAGAAACATCTAGGAACAGAAGCAAAAGACTAGTTGGGATTCCTGTACTTATTTTTGCTTCGTGTTTTTTTACTCCTGTTAAATTTTATGGTGGCATGGATGGTGCTTTTCTGGGGGGAATTTTTGCTGTCATTTCCCCATGCTGCCCCCTCAGCTGATTTTAACAATCTTTGGGGTCAGACAACCTCCATTTGACGGAGAATATGTGATGATGGAGGGATGGATGAAGGTGTTCGGGGCTTGCCTCTGCGTACTGAGGGGAGAGAGGGTGGCCCTTTGCCGGATTCAGTTGGATGCTGCTACAGCAAAATTTGGCTACTTGTCGAAGGGAAGATGGTCTATCTTTTCGTATGTTCTCACGTACAAAATTATATATTTAGAACTAAATCGACATATAATGTATACCTTTCTATGGATCTTCACCATTTGAGGATTGAGTGCACAAATGGTTCCTGGTGGAACAAACTGATGATGTTGTCCAGGTCGGAACTGGATTGGGGCTGGTACTTCATGTTTATTGCACTTTTTGGAGCTTGTGGATCTTTTCACCTGCTTAGGATCATCGGATTAAGTTTTATATTTTAGTTAAATGTACCTGATGGTATTATTTATTTAATTCCTTTTTATATTTCAGTTGTTGAAATGATCAATTTTCAGTATATCGACAAGATTTGGTCATTTTGTTCTCAATATTTTGTTGATATTTGATTTTGATCATTTCAACAATTAGAATTTAAATTTTTATCATTTTAGTTGAGTCTTAAAAAATTGATACATCTTTTTATTATTTTTGTTCTCAAAAACACATTAATATTTTTATCAATAACAATTTGAGAGATGTGTCAATTGAACATCTTTTGCTTTTCCTAAATCACTCAGATCAATTTGCTGCAGATGCATGTCCTTTTTCCTTGGATTTGGATCCCATCTGGATTCAAATTGTAGGAATCCTAGGGATCTTCACATTTTAGTTATTTATTGCAGTAAAAAATTATTTAACTATTTTTTTATTTAAAATTAAATACAAATAGTACATGGCGAAAATTGACCGCACGATGTATTACCGTACCAAACTTTCAGTTTGGAAAAATTCATTACCATTACCGTATTAAATTTTTGGTATACCGAAATACCGAATTTCGGTACGCCAAATAGTTTAGTTGGCATGACATGATAATGGTAATTGCCACTTTGTTTTGTACCATTTTTTTGGGCCAAAATTTTATTTATTTAATTTTTTTTTTTTTTGTACTTTTACTTCATATATTGTAGCCTAAATTCATATATCATTTGTCATTTACAATTAACACACATAATAAATCAAATGATGCATCAAGATTCATTATGAAAATTAAGGTTACAATCCAAATAGAAGTTAGAAACCAAATCAATAAATAGAAGTTTTCAATCCAAATAGAAGTTAAAGTTTCAAACCAAAGCAAAATTGAGAGTGGATTTAAACTTCAAAAAACAAAAATATAGGGTAAATTACAAAAAAACTACCTCAACTATTGGGTCAACCACAGTTTCAAACTCATCTTTAAAACATCTCAATGTCATACATTATCTTCAAATTTGTTGCAATGACATACCTTCTGTCAGTTTGTTTGTCAATTCCTCTGTTAAATGTTGACGTGGCTTTGAGGCAAAGCCCACTTTCTATTAAAAATTTAATTAAATATTACAAAAATTAAAATACAATTATTAAAATATTTTTATAAAAATAATGTGGGACCCACCCACCTTCTTCCTATCCCACCCGTCTCCCCCCACATTTCCTCCCTTCACTCCAAAACCAGAACCCCACCATGACTTTCCCTCACCCTCATCCTCCCCACTCGATCGCCTTCTTCACCAAATCACCCAGTCATTTACACTTCGATCAAGCCATTCCCCTCCATGCCCGTCCTCCCTTACGCCCCCCTCCGCCGCCACACCTGTTGCTTCATCCTCAACCCTTTTTCCACCGTCGATTACGCCACCAAGGTTTGGATCTGCCCTGTCTGCTTCACTCGCAACCATTTCCCTCCCCACTACGCCTCAATCTCCGATGAGAATCTCCCCACCAAGCTTTTCCCCCAGTACACCACCATCGAGTACGACTCGTCCATCGAAAAACCTACCTCGCCTCCGATCTTTATTTTCGTTGTCGACACATGATCGAGGATGAGCTCTCGTTTCTCAAGTCCACTTTGTCTCATGCTCTTGGTCTCCATCCCCATATATGGAGATAAAGGAGTAGGCGAGTGATGGGGGATGAGGGAAGGGGTGATGGGGGATTTTTGGGTCGGGTTGCTTAAAAGAAGAAGAAGAAGAAATGGGATTCTTGGGAGAAGGGGGTGGGTGATAGGGGCTTTGGTTTTGGTGGTGAAGGAAGGTTGGGAGTTGGGGACACGGGTGGATGGGGAAGAAAGGGGCTTTGGTTTTGGTGGTGAAGGAAGGTTGGGGGTACGTAGGGGACACGGGTGGATGGGGAAGAAGGGGGTTTTGGTTTTAGAGTTAAGGAAGGAAAGGTGGGGGGAGACAGGTGGGATAGGAAGAAGGTGAGTGGGTCCCACATTATTTTTTATAAAAATATTTAAATAATTGTATTTTAATTTTTTTAATATTTAATTAATTTTTTAATAGAAAGTGGGCCTCATCTCAAGCCACGTCAGCATTTAACAGATTAATTGACAAACAAACTGACGGAAGATATGACATTACAACAAATTCAAAGATAAGATATGATATTGAAATGTTTTAAAGATAGGGTATGAAACTGTGGTTTACCCAATAGTTGAGGTAATTTTTTGTAATTTACCTAAAAATATACTATGGATGTGTTTATTTACAATCACTAGCTTAGACTGAACTAGCTATTAGTCCAATATTATGTTTGTCCCTCGCTGGACTAGATTTAAATGAGACTACGGCGGACGCTCTTCGACTAAGTCCTTCGCAAGTTCTTAGCGAAGCCCCCTAACAAGCAGAGGACTGTTAAGACCGTTTACGTCTTCCTCCTTGCATCCTCGTCCAGTAGTCATTCTCGCGGCCTCATCCTCGTGCTGCTTTACCGATTTCGTCGGACCACCCACCGATGGTGATGGTGATGATCATCGAAAACTATACGAGTTCTTGGCTCCGTGCTTCCTCCTTGTGTCCTCGTCCGGCCGTCCTCCTCACCTTTGACTAGCACTTGCTCGTCCTCTTCCTGCACCTCAAAATCCAAGGTCCGCTTGAATTGATTTCACATTTTATGAATTAACCCAATTAATGGAGGGGCTGCGTTGGAGAAGTTTTTGTTAGTAGTGGCTGCAACGAAAGAGTTGGGGCTGTGATGGAAGAGTTGTTAGTTCTGATTTTTTTTAATGGAGTTGGGGCTACGAAGTTGGTTGTGATGGAGGATTTGTGGGGTGAAGGAATAGTCGGCATGAAGATACTAGAATTTTTTTTTTTTAATTATGGATTTTATAATTTAAAAGATTTATTTATTTTATTTGCTTATCTCTTAGTCCGACATTGTATCAAACGCTTCACTAAGTCAGTCCAACTTTGTTTATTCTAAATCAGTCCAGCTTAGTCTCTGAAGCTAGTCTAGTCTGAAATAGTCTGGTGCAACAAAAGCACCATATATGTTAATTCTTAAAACATAAATTATGAGTTTTGTAAAATCAAATCAATGACCTATATTTTATTTAAAGTGTGATAATGTTGTGATAATGTTGTCGAATACCAATACCGTATCATAAAATTTCAGTTCGGTACAATAACATGTCATTACCGATTGACACAAAAAATTTGGCACAAAATTAGTATGATACGGTTGGCATGGTAATTTGGCAAAAAAATACATCCCTAATTTCACCAATTTATCCCCGTTCGAGCTGAGAAATCCGGGTTGGGTATCAATTTCAGACAGGACTTTGGGTTACAGATACTAGGCCCAATGGTCTCAAACTTTGGGCTGGAGGTGGTCTAATGGAGTTCAAATAGTTGCTTTCATGGATTGAAGACTGGATGGAGCAGGAGGCTCTATATTTTTATTGTTGATATAAGAGCATAATCATGCATGCAGTTCTTTTTCAACACAGATTTTCCTCGATGAACTACAATTTAATTAAAAAAAATCTTAATCCTTAAGCTCTGGACACCAAAGTCTGGAGATGATCCAAATTCCTCCTTTTAGCCCATCTTTCACTTTATTTCTTGCTAAAAATAATATAATATTAGAATTAGTTACAATGACTAGTGTTGTTGGAGTTGATGGAGTTAAACTGATTAATTAAAACAAAGTTTGGAGTCAGTAACAAACTAAATTAACAAAATTTTCTAGTGTCTTAGAGATGCTTTAATGTACATGACATAAGAATTGAGGTCTCCCAAATAGAAATCCACGTACATATGAAAGCCATGTTTGCAAAAGCGCATTGTTATTAAGAAGTGCAACCTAATACAATCACATGTATATGGTGCAAAGACTGACAAACTACATAACATAAGTCGGAAAAATGAAAACGTGGTTAGTCAAGGTTTTAGAGCTATCTCAACGAGACAATCAGTAAGAACATTTTCGAGAGAAGATCTAATTTTTGTTAAAATAATAACTGAACAGTGTCAAAAAATTATTTTAGCTACTCAATTTAATTTTTCGTCTTCAACAACTCTCTATTTTAACAAATTTTAAATATTATATTATTAATAATTCAAATTCAACCCATTTATTTTCTAAAAATATCACCTTCTCTCTTTCTTTTCTCCTTAGGTTTATGGATCTACCATGAAGTTTTACCAATATTTAACATTTAACTGACATATGAACCGTGACTATAAATTTAAAGAGCAAGTCACTTTGCTATTATATAGTTTCTTGGAGATGAGTTTTGGCTCTTTAAAATAAAATTTTAGTGGTTTACACACAGAATCTTACTCACTAAACACAAGGTTTGACGAGTTTTGAATACATTAGATAAGCAACCTACATAGTGTCAAAAAAATTAAAGTAAGGTTAACTTGCGTAACACTTTCTAATTACCTGTAACAGTATTAGCATTTTTTTTTCACTCATTTATTGGAGTTCACAACAACTAGATGATCATGAGAGGTAGTCCGAGTAATTGCTGTCCAAATCACAACTTATGAACTATAAGGGTCTAATATGTTTCGGGTTCTTCCGAGATTTCGAACACACTAAGTCAAACAAGACACGATAATTAGGTCTAACAAATAGTGTTGGGATGAGCGGGCTATTGCTGAATGCGAAATGAGGAGCACGGAAATTATTTTACTGGACAATTTTGTTATATTGTGTACCAAATGAACCTTCCCAATTTGAGATTCTCCTAAACAGCTTTGCCAATAATTCAGCGGGAGCAGTCTATCAAATCAATAGTTCACAGTCCTATCCAGGAAACCTGAATTCAAAGAGGGAAGCAAAAAATGGAAAGATAAAAAACCAGCCTTCTTTCGGTGAATGTGCCCACGCCATGGCCAGTACGTGTTGATAGGATGGCATTTTGTAAAAGGTTGCCTCGTTCGCAACCCACGCACAATAAATCACCCTAAACAGAAAAAGAGGGCAAGCGTTTTCACACAAGTAGAATTGGCATAGTTGGTTGGGTAACAGATTTAATAAATACGCAGAATACT